ATTGTCGACATACCCCACTGTGGCAACGACACTACCCCACTGTGGCAGACAGACACTACCCCACTGTGTCAGACAGACATACCCACTGTGGCAGACAGACACTACCCCACTGTGGCAGACAGACACTACCCCACTGTGTCAGACAGACAATACCCCACTGTGGCAGACAGACACTACCCCACTGTGTCAGACAGACAATACCCCACTGTGTCAGACAGACAATACCCCACTGTGGCAGACAGACAATACCCCACTGTGGCAGACAGACACTACCCCACTGTGTCAGACAGACAATACCCCACTGTGGCAGACAGACACTACCCCACTGTGTCAGACAGACAATACCCCACTGTGGCAGACAATATCAATGTCCCCTTTAGGTATAATGATTTTTACATGACACCCTGAACCGGTTCCAACCCTTGGGTGTAATGACACCCTGAACCGGTTCCAACCCTTGGGTATAATGACACCCTGAACCGGTTCCAACCCTTGGGTATAATGACACCCTGAACCGGTTCCATCCCTTGGGTATAATGACACCCTGAACCGGTTCCAACCCTTGGGTATAATGACACCCTGAACCGGTTCCAACCCTTGGGTATAATGACACCCTGAACCGGTTCCAACCCTTGGGTATAATGACACCCTGAACCGGTTCAGGGTGTCATTATCTCTTCCCCTCTCTGGAGTCTTTTATACACAGTTTAAAAAGTAAATGAATATACTATTTGTTTATATCAATTTATAATGGCAATAAAAAAATGAGCACTTCATATAGATATCGATAATCATATCTGAACATTCTAATATAGACATCTTTATACACACATATGGTTGTTTACAGTACATGTTGGTTTGTTTACATGTATGTATGTTAGTGTACACATATGGTTGTTTATTTGTTAGTCTGTTTGTTTGTTTACATGTATGCTTTACATGCAGTTCCACATATCAGCCATTTTGGTCCCTAGAACATATCAGCCCTTTTGGTCCATATAACATATCAGCCCTTTTGGTCCATATAACATATCAGCCCTTTTGGTCCATATAACATATCAGCCCTTTTGGTCCATATAACATATCAGCCCTTTTGGTCCATATAACATATCAGCCCTTTTGGTCCATATAACATATCAGCCCTTTTGGTCCATATAACATATCAGCCCTTTTGGTCCATATAACATATCAGCCCTTTTGGTCCATATAACATATCAGCCCTTTTGGTCCATATAACATATCAGTTTGGTCTGGGGGGATCTTGGTCTGAATCTCCATGGAAACATTGTCTCGGAATGTTGTGTCCTCCTCTGGTTACCGTAGAAACACCATGGTGAGCAGACCTTAGAGACACATAGATAAGAGTTACACATACAGTGGGGAAAAAAAGTATTTAGTCAGCCACCAATTGTGCAAGTTCTCCCCCTTAAAAAGATGAGAGAGGCCTGTAATTTTCATCATAGGTACACGTCAACTATGACAGACAAATTGAGAAAGAAAAATCCAGAAAATCACATTGTAGGATTTTTTATGAATTTATTTGCAAATTATGGTGGAAAATAAGTATTTGGTCACCTACAAACAAGCAAGATTTCTGGCTCTCACAGACCTGTAACTTCTTCTTTAAGAGGCTCCTCTGTCCTCCACTCGTTACCTGTATTAATGGCACCTGTTTGAACTTGTTATCAGTATAAAAGACACCTGTCCACAACCTCAAACAGTCACACTCCAAACTCCACTATGGCCAAGACCAAAGAGCTGTCAAAGGACACCAGAAACCAAATTGTAGACCTGCACCAGGCTGGGAAGACTGAATCTGCAATAGATAAGCAGCTTGGTTTGAAGAAATCAACTGTGGGAGCAATTATTAGGAAATGGAAGACATACAAGACCACTGATAATCTCCCTCGATCTGGGGCTCCACGCAAGATCTCACCCCGTAGGGTCAAAATGATCACAAGAACGGTGAGCAAAAATCCCAGAACCACACGGGGGGACCTAGTAAATGACCTGCAGAGAGCTGGGACCAAAGTAACAAAGCCTACCATCAGTAACACACTACGCCGCCAGGGACTCAAATCCTGCAGTGTCAGACGTGTCCCCCTGCTTAAGCCAGTACATGTCCAGGCCCGTCTGAAGTTTGCTAGATTGCATTTGGATGATCCAGAAGAGGATTGGGAGAATGTCATATGGTCAGATGAAACCAAAATATAACTTTTTGGTAAAAACTCAACTCGTCGTGTTTGGAGGACAAAGAATGCTGAGTTGCATCCAAAGAACACCATACCTACTGTGAAGCATGGGGGTGGAAACATCATGCTTTGGGGCTGTTTTTCTGCAAAGGGACCAGGACGACTGATCCGTGTAAAGGAAATAATGAATGGGGCCATGTATCGTGAGATTTTGAGTGAAAACCTCCTTCCATCAGCAAGGGCATTGAAGATGAAAAGTGGCTGGGTCTTTCAGCATGACAATGATCCCAAACACACCGCCCGGGCAACGAAGGAGTGGCTTCGTAAGAAGCATTTCAAGGTCCTGGAGTGGCCTAGCCAGTCTCCAGATCTCAACCCCATAGAAAATCTTTGGAGGGAGTTGAAAGTCCGTGTTGCCCAGCGACAGCCCCAAAACATCACTGCTCTAGAGGAGATCTGCATGGAGGAATGGGCCAAAATACCAGCAACAGTGTGTGAAAACCTTGTGAAGACTTACAGAAAACGTTTGACCTGTGTCATTGCCAACAAAGGGTATATAACAAAGTATTGAGAAACTTTTGTTATTGACCAAATACTTATTTTCCACCATAATTTGCAAATAAATTCATTAAAAATCCTACAATGTGATTTTATGTATATTTTTTTCTCATTTTGTCTGTCATAGTTGACGTGTACCTATGATGAAAATTACAGGCCTCTCTCATCTTTTTAAGTGGGAGAACTTGCACAATTGGTGGCTGACTAAATACTTTTTTTCCCCACTGTATACACACACACACACACACACACACACACACACACACACACACACACACACACACACCTTACCCAGTACGTAGGCACACACCAGCTTCTGTGTGACAGTCACATGGGCATAGCTAGGAACCAAGCTGTTGGGCTCAGAGTGGAGGGGGAGCATTAAGAAAGCAACACACACGACCCCCATCACCACCGACACTGCAAACTGGGACAGTCTCCGAACTAGAGGGGAGAGAGAGTTGATACATGTTGTCTGAGATGTGACTGTTTCTTTAATGGAGAGAGTTGATACATGTTGTCTGAGATGTGACCGTTTCCTCAGGAAGGAGAGAGTTGATACATGTTGTCTGAGATGTGACCGTTTCCTCAGGAAGGAGAGAGTTGATACATGTTGTCTGAGATGTGACCGTTTCCTCAGGAAGGAGAGAGTTGATACATGTTGTCTGAGATGTGACCGTTTCCTCAGGAAGGAGAGAGTTGATACATGTTGTCTGAGATGTGACCGTTTCCTCAGGAAGGAGAAATCTTGTCTCAAAAGGTTCAGGGTGCATGCAGATCTAACGGGTGAGTATGACTGTGCCTTATAGTGTGTTGTTTAGCACAACCTCAAGCCACTTAACATATTTTCACATATAAATCATCATTTTACACACCTTCACATGGAAATACATTACTCCTCAGTTTAATGAGAAGTCATTGAAAATAGATGCTGTTTTTTCAAATTGTTATTTAAGTTTACTTCCTGAACTGACTGCCTTCAGGAATTGACCCCAACCCTGGTGTAAATGCACCCTTCCACAAAACTCTACAGAACCTTTCTGGGGCGCTGTGAAGCAAGGTTGAGGGACGGGGTGGGGAGTCAGTGGATCTGTTCCTGGGGGGGGTCCTCTCCCCCCCTGATATGGAGGGTTAACCAAGTGACTCACCTTTCTGGGGCGCTGTGAAGTAAGGTAGAGGGGTGAGGGAGGGGGTGGGGAGTCTCAGGGGGCTAGTGGGTCTGTTCTGGGAGGTGGCCTCTCCCCCCCTGAGCTCAGCCCACACCTCCCGCTTCCCCCCCTGCCCTGCCCCGGACACCTCCAGGCGGAACCGATCTCTCCTGCCCCAGTGGCGGGGGGACACATCTTGGTGACGCACCACTCTGTGAGGAGAAAGAGGAAGTCAGGTCAGAGGACAGGAAGTCTCAGGTTGAGTCCCAAATGGCACCCTATTCCCTACGCAGAGTACCCTATTCCCTATGGGGCCTGGTCGAAAGTAGTGCTCTATGGCACCCTATTCCCTATGGGGCCTGGTCTAAAGTAGTGCTCTATAAAGGCCAGGGAATAGGATGTCATTTCAACTCTCTGCTATTCCCACTAAAACCAATAACCACTTATAAAGGCTTTACAGTGCCCCATAGAGCCTTCATACAGTGGGGAAAAAAATGTATTTAGTCAGCCACCAATTGTGCAAGTTCTCCCACTTAAAAAGATGAGAGGCCTGTAATTTTCATCATAGGTACACGTCAACTATGACAGACAAAATGAGAAAATCCAGAAAATCACATTGTAGGATTTTTTATGAATTTATTTGCAAATTATGGTGGAAAATAAGTATTTGGTCAATAACAAAAGTTTCTCAATACTTTGTTATATACCCTTTGTTGGCAATGACACAGGTCAAACGTTTTCTGTAAGTCTTCACAAGGTTTTCACACACTGCTGCTGGTATTTTGGCCCATTCCTCCATGCAGATCTCCTCTAGAGCAGTGATGTTTTGGGGCTGTCGCTGGGCAACATGGACTTTCAACTCCCTCCAAAGATTTTCTATGGGGTTGAGATCTGGAGACTGGCTAGGCCACTCCAGGACCTTGAAATGCTTCTTACGAAGCCACTCCTTCGTTGCCCGGGCGGTGTGTTTGGGATCATTGTCATGCTGAAAGACCCAACCACGTTTCATCTTCAATGCCCTTGCTGATGGAAGGAGGTTTTCACTCAAAATCTCACGATACATGGCCCCATTCATTCTTTCCTTTACACGGATCAGTCGTCCTGGTCCCTTTGCAGAAAAACAGCCCCAAAGCATGATGTTTCCACCCCCATGCTTCACAGTAGGTATGGTGTTCTTTGGATGCAACTCAGCATTCTTTGTCCTCCAAACATGACGAGTTGAGTTTTTACCCAAAAGTTATATTCTGACCATATGACATTCTCCCAATCCTCTTCTGGATCATCCAAATGCACTCTAGCAAACTTCAGACGGGCCTGGACATGTACTGGCTTAAGCAGGGGGACACGTCTGGCACTGCAGGATTTGAGTCCCTGGCGGCGTATTGTGTTACTGATGGTAGGCTTTGTTACTTTGGTCCCAGCTCTCTGCAGGTCATTTACTAGGTCCCCCCGTGTGGTTCTGGGATTTTTGCTCACCGTTCTTGTGATAATTTTGACCCCACGGGGTGAGATCTTGCGTGGAGCCCCAGATCGAGGGAGATTATCAGTGGTCTTGTATGTCTTCCATTTCCTAATAATTGCTCCCACAGTTGATTTCTTCAAACCAAGCTGCTTACCTATTGCAGATTCAGTCTTCCCAGCCTGGTGCAGGTCTACAATTTTGTTTCTGGTGTCCTTTGACAGCTCTTTGGTCTTGGCCATAGTGGAGTTTGGAGTGTGACTGTTTGAGGTTGTGGACAGGTGTCTTTTATACTGATAACAAGTTCAAACAGGTGCCATTAATACAGGTAACGAGTGGAGGACAGAGGAGCCTCTTAAAGAAGAAGTTACAGGTCTGTGAGAGCCAGAAATCTTGCTTGTTTGTAGGTGACCAAATACTTATTTTCCACCATAATTTGCAAAGAAATTCATTAAAAATCCTACAATGTGATTTTCTGGATTTTTTTTTCCTCAATTTGTCTGTCATAGTTGACGTGTACCTATGATGAAAATTACAGGCCTCTCTCATCTTTTTAAGTGGGAGAACTTGCACAATTGGTGGCTGACTAAATACTTTTTTTCCCCCACTGTAAGCACTACATAGTGCGTTGTATTTGTATTATGCTTAATGATACTCACAGGTCAACACAGGACTTGGCTCTGACACTGCCCTCTGCCTCCACCACTGAATACAGCGATGGGGCTGTACACAACACTATAGAGAGAGAGAGGTCAGGGGTTAAAGGTCAACGCAGGACTTGGCTCTCAGACTGCTCTCTGCCTTTACCACAGAATACAGAGATGTTCACAACAGGTCAGGGGTTAAAGGTCAGAGGTAGGTAGGGTTCTTACTCTTGAATCTGATGGTGAAGGTGTAAGGGTTGTAGAGAGTCAGGACTCTCCTGTGGGAACTCCTCTGATCAGAGTAGAACACAAGTTCAGATGGAAACAGGAAGATAGGAAGAGGGCTGGGAGGAGATGGGGGAGACTGGGGGTGAGAGGGGGAGACTGGGAGGAGATGGGGGAGACTGGGGAGAGATGGGGGAGACTGGGGGTGAGAGGGGGAGGCAGGGAGGAGATGGGGGAGAGATGGGGGAGACTGGGGGAGAGAGGGGGAGGCAGGGTCACCTCTCTCACCCCTCCACTTTACCCCACCAACCTCAGCCTTGCCCCTGGACCCGCTCTCCTGCCCTTTCATTGGCTGCTGCTGCATGACGACGGGTCCTCAGTCATGATCTGATTGGCTCACAAACAGTGGCGGTGACGTTACAACAGCGACATCTGGCGGCCAGAAGGAGAGATAGCTTTGGGTTAGAGAAAATTACAGTAGTTTCCTCTGGTATTCATGTTAGCTAAGGTTACTCGTCTGAGAAGTTTAAAAGCAGAGCTTTATTTCAGATAACGTTATTCCTCATCTCTTTGTGATCCCTGCAGATGGATGAAGACTTCGTTTCCGCATCTATACCCTCGTCATGTTGTTATGCATCCATCTCACAGTTAGCTAATTGGTTGCCATCTGTTTGTCTAGTTAATTAAACAAGTTATCTATCCATATCGACTGGCTTCACCAAGTTATCCAGAACGCTCCAGCCAAACCTCACTAGCATCCCTAGCTAACGTTACCTCTGTCTGTAGCTATCAGGTAACGTTATGTTAGCTAACAGGCTGCAGATAGCGAGCTTAACGAAGATCTCTGCGCACAAAACATGACAGATAGAGGCTAAAAAAAACACTCTGACCTGTTATACTAACTATCACTACCGTATAGACGGTTAAAACATACACAAGTACAGTAAAGTAGAGCTCGTTCGCCGATTTACCTCTCTCCTATCTTCTGTGCCTGTTCTACTTCAGAACCCGCCCTCTATTGAAATACACCAATGAAGGAAGCGTACCGAGTCAACGCTGCCGTTTCATTGGTAAGTTCTCGTGTCCATCCGAGTGTTTTTCCGTGTTTACGTTTTGTGCAGTTTGACAGCGCCAACGCCCGCCTTTCCTGTCCGCTGATTGGTTTGCCAGGAGAGGCGTGATGAGCTGAAACTTACTGCCATAGAGCTCAAGTATGTATGGGTAACTGAAACTTACTGCCATAGAGCTCAAGTATGTATGGGTAACTGAAACTTACTGCCATAGAGCTCAAGTATGTATGGGTAACTGAAACTTACTGCCATAGAGCTCAAGTATGTATGGGTAACTGAAACTTACTGCCATAGAGCTCAAGTATTTATGGGTAACTGAAACTTACTGCCATAGAGCTCAAGTATGTATGGGTAACTGAAACTTACTGCCATAGAGCTCAAGTATGTATGGGTAACTGCATACGTGGGGTGTTTCTCAATATGCTTACTAGCGTGCTCCACACTCTCATGCTCTGAGCCAGTTAGCCCTATGGTTTATCCATTCACTGAACCGTCTTCCAGCCAGGACAACAATGGCAATAGAGACGAAACAAGATACACACAAAGCAACCGTTTTACTTCAGAACTATCAGATAGCTATATGTGAATCATAATAATGTAGCTAACCAGATAGTTTAACAGGCAAAACTGACCTAAAACTAAAATTATGCAAGATAGATGTCAATTATTTGTGGGTAGCTAGCTAACAATCCTTTCTGGCTATCTGGCTAGCTAACAGTACTAGGAGCTAGCCTGTTAGCCCTATTGACTTATTATGTGCTTGTGATCTACGTTACGTAGGCAGGTAAACATGCCAAAATTAACAAAGCATGTATTTATTAACGTATCATGATAAAATATTGTAGTCAGGTAACATATGAGATGTGAAGAGGGCAACATTTCATTCTGAAGTCGGTTTGTATTTTCTCTCGCTTCAGTTCAAATAATGGCCGCCATTTCAATAAATTCTGCATCATTTGTTACGTGGTTGTGTCATATCTTCCGTTGAAGTTTGTGTCAATATACGTCCTAAACGGAGGACGCGTTGGAGAAGCGCCTTCGGTGCCCCGTTTGGCATACTTCGATTTGGATTCATACTCCGGCACTACCGTCCTCGGAGTGCAGTAGTATGCATTTTGAGAAACAACTGTGGAGTGTATCTGAAAGTGGGCCTGTCAACAGATGTGGCGGGATCAACAGCGATAGGCCTTACACCTGTAATTGCTTACATTTTAACAGACGCTCTTATCCAGAGCGACTTACGGGAGCAATTAGGGTTAAGTGCCTTGCTCAAGGGCACATCGGCAGATTTTTCACCTAGTCGGCTCGGGGATTAGAACCAGCGACCTTTCGGTTACTGGCACAACGCTCTTAACCACTAAGCTACCTGCTTAGACGGTTTTGATTGAGCATGTTGTTTTTTCGTTTCTTAACACGTTTTTATTGGTCAGTTCCTGACAATGTGAAACAAGACTGGGACAGCTAAAAGGCAGTGTATTGTTGATAGAGAATCATACTGTCCCATTTGAATGTTAACAAAACACACAACAAACACCTCACTTACAGTCTAAATACGAAAATAAAAGTAATTTACCAATAAATCTTCATTATTAGGCCTATAACTCATTATGACGTCTGTTCAGCTATCATCTGATGATGACAATCAAATTGTGTTTGGCTCATTATATAATTACTCTTGTATAATTGGGCAGTAAACAGCCGTAAACCGGTTTTTCATTTAACAATATGTTTTATTTTAACTCATGGCATCTATTTGACTATCATCAGATGATGACAATAAAATTGTGTTTGGCTCAATATAATTACTCTGGTAGAATTGGGCAACAAACCAGCTTTGAATGAAGAGTACTCAAGGACAAGGGTTAACAATAAAATCCATCACTAATACGACTCCCACCAGAAAACCACTGTATACAACAGACAAAAAGACAATGGCAAATTAATTTAATGACTTCTACACAACGTTTTACTGACATTACTTCTCTGCCAAGTGTGTTAACATGCTCAACACCGTGGTTACTGACGGCTGTGACCCCAAGTTAGAATTTAACCCTAGAGAGGCCACAAGAGTCTTTAAGCAAACTTGCAACAGGCCCCGATGGCGTCTCTGCTTTGTGCAGAGGAACTTACACCAGCCTGGGTCCCTGTCTTTCAGAGGTCTGTACAAGGCTATAAACGCTATGTCTGGCGCAAACCCAAAAGCCATGTGGGAGACTCCCCAAACATATGGAAGAAAGTACTCTGGTCAGATGAGACTAAAATTGAGCTTTTTGGCCATCAAGGAAAACGCTATGTCTGGCGCAAACCCAACACCTCTCATCACTCCGAGAACACCATCCCTACAGTGAAGCATGGTGGTGGCAGCATCATGCTGTGGGGATGTTTTTCATCGGCAGGGCCTGGGAGACTGGTCAGAATTGAAGGAATGATGGATGGCGCTAAATACGGGGAAATTCTTGAGGGAAACCTGTTTCAGTCTTCCAGAGATTTGAGACTGGGACGGTGGTTCACCTTCCAGCAGGACAATGACCCTAAGCATACTGCTATAGCAACACTCGAGCGGTTTAAGGGGAAACATTTAAATGTCTTGGAATGGCCTAGTCAAAGCCCAGACCTCAATCCAATTGAGAATCTGTGGTATGACTTAAAGATTACTGTACACCAGTGGAACCCATTCAACTTGAAGGAGCTGGAGCAGTTTTGCCTTGAAGAATGGGCAAAAATCCCAGTGGCTAGATGTGCCAAGCTTATAGAGACATACCCCAAGAGACTTGCAGCTGTAATTGTTGCAAAAGGTGGCTCTACAAAGTATTGACTTTGAGGGGGTGAATAGTTATGCACGCTCAAGTTTTCTGTTTTTTTGTCTTATTTCTTGTTTGTTTCACCCATTTACATTTTAGACATTTAGCAGATGCTCTTATCCAGAGCGACTTACAGTTAGTTAGTGCATACATTATTTATTTTTTCTTCATACCCCCTGTGGGAATCAAACCCACAACCCTGGCGTTGCAAACGCCATGCTCTATCAACTGAGCTACATCCCTGCCGGCCATTCCCTCCCCGACCCTGGACAACGCTAGGCCAATTGCGCGCCGCCCCATGGGTCTCCCGGTCGCGGCCGGCTACGACAGAGCCTGGATTCGAACCAGGATCTCTAGTGGCACAGCTAGCACTGCAATGCAGTGCCTTAGACCACTGCATCACTCGGGAGATTACCCCAAAAATTATTTTGCATCTTCAAAGTGGTAGGCATGTTGTGTAAATCAAATGATACAAACCCCCAAAAAATCAAGGTTGTAAGGCAACAAAATAGGAAAAATGCCAAGGGGGGTGAATACTTTCGCAAGCCACTGTATTGTATTTGCCATTTGCTATTTTATTGGGATCCCCATTAGCTGTTGTGAAAGCAGCAGCTACTCTTCCTGGGGTTTATTAGGGATCCCCATTAGCTGTTGTGAAAGCAGCAGCTACTCTTCCTGGGGTTTATTAGGGATCCCCATTAGCTGTTGTGAAAGCAGCAGCTACTCTTCCTGGGGTTTATTAGGGATCCCCATTAGCTGTTGTGAAAGCAGCAGCTACTCTTCCTGGGGTTTATTAGGGATCCCCATTAGCTGTTGTGAAAGCAGCAGCTACTCTTCCTGGGGTTTATTAGGGATCCCCATTAGCTGTTGTGAAAGCAGCAGCTACTCTTCCTGGGGTTTATTAGGGATCCCCATTAGCTGTTGTGAAAGCAGCAGCTACTCTTCCTGGGGTCCACACAGAACATGAAACATGACATAATACAGAACATTAATAGACAACAGCTCAAGGACAGAACTACATACAATACAGTGTAGACATTGTTAATGTTGTAAATGGCTTTTGTAGCTGGAAACGGCAGATTTTTTATGGAATATCTACATAGGCGTACAGAGGACCATTATCAGCAACCATCAGTCCTGTGTTCCAATGGCACGTTGTGTTTGCTAATCCAAGTTTATCATTTTAAAAGGCTAATTGATCATTAGAAAACCCTTTTGCAATTATGTTAGCACAGCTGAAAACTGTTGTGCTGATTAAAGAAGCAATAAAACTGGCCTTCTTGAGACTAGTTTAGTAACTGGAGCATCAGCAATTGTGTGTTCGATTACAGGCTCAAAATGGCCAGAAAAAAATTACTTTCTACTGAAACTCGTCAGTCTATCCTTGTTCTGAGAAATTAAGGCTATTCCATGCGAGAAATTGCCAAGAAACTGAAGATCTCGTACAACGCTGTGTACTACTCCCTTCACAAAACAGCGCAAACTGGCTCTAA